CAGTGCACGCATGTGTACTAGCATCTGCACGACGCTCCAGCTGCTCCTGGATGATCGTGCAGGCGCTGTATGCATCCTGCGCATGCGTGGAAGCGCAGAAGCCTTCAAAGACCGGCAAGGAGCGCGGGTGGGCCCTTCGCCGTTCCCAGAAGTTACTTACTTCCGGGTTCGCTGACCAACCGGTTCGCGGGGACCGCCGTGAACCGGTTGAAACCCACCCCTGGTTTTGGGGAAACACAGTATGTTTTCCACAATTCTTTTTTAAATACTCAGGCCTGATTTTATTGTCACAACTGAGAGTCAAGAAAGAAGAATTCCCCATTCCAACTGCTCCCAGTCACTGCTATCAGTCAATATTGACCAGTTTAAGATTAACATGATGGGCTTTAATAAGAAAGAATAGCCTCTAAATGGAGTTAGGTAGCAAAAGCAATCTTGAAGTTCTTAAAACAGAAAGTACTGCTTACATCATGGACTAATTTTCAAAGACATTCTATTTCAGGAATCATCTTCCCTACACAAGTTACCTTAGCAGCAGTTTTATGGCCCTTAGCCAAATGGAATGAAAATGCCAACTGCTCACCTCTCCTTCCGATTTGACTCCGATGACCTTGCCACCTTCCATGACAATCTCATCCACTGGTTTGTTGAGCATGTAGGTGCCACCATAGATAGCGCTGAGCCTGGTGGCATGAAGTGAAAGAATGGGTGAAGGGCGCTGGGCAGACCATGACCTCCACCACCCCTGTCACCAAAGGCACATTTTGCCAAATAGCTGTCAAACCTGGGCTGCGCCAAAGGCATGCAAGAATTATACTAAGGGGCTTTATTGCTTTTTTTCAATAGAATTTAGCTCCCCCCCCCTCCTCATATAAAATTAAATCAATTTTCTTGAAGCCCTGAAGTGTATAGGAAGAGTAAGGCTATGCTCACTGGGAATTCAAAGGCATTGGAGTCCAAATATATTTGGAGAGTGCCAGGCTAGAAAAATATTGATCTAAAATGGCTTTTTCTTTTTAATGTATCTTATCTTCTGCTCCCAAAGGTGCTTCTCCAACAACCAACTTTCTTGGCAACCGAGAAAGTCCAGTTGCCTGTTGGAAAAGCACTCTTAATCTCCGCAGACATTTACCTTCCAGGGCCGGTTCTACCACAAAACCGCGGACGACAAAATCGCGGTCGACGAAAGCGCGTATGTGACGTCATCACAGCGCGACGAAAAAGATCGAAAAATGTGAAATTAAAGCTAAAACCTTCCCCTAACCCCCCTAAACCTAACCCTTAACCTAACCCTTAACCTAACCCTT